CCGGGGTGAGACATTCCCAGAATTTGGGATTTTTTGGGATGCCATTCCCAGCTCCATTACATACACACCCGCATGGAGCACTACCGGGGTGAGACTTATTCAATTGACTAAATAGAAAAATATTTAATTTACTAAATACAAGAATATTCAATTGACTAAATAGAAAAATATTTAATTTACTAAATACAAGAATATTAAATTCACTAAATAGAAAAATACTTAATTTACTAAATACAAGAATATTTAATGTCTTCAATAGACGAATATTTAATTTATTAAATAGGTGACTGTTGGTAAGTTGGGCTGTTCCCAAATCCGTAAAAAAGCCCATTCCAGGGGATTTTGGGAATGCCAGGTTTGTCACTGATTCTCATGTTGCTTCCGTGATGGTGCTGGGGAAGCTGCTTTCCCAAAAATTCCTTGGAAAAATGGGAATAATTCCCCTGTGCCTTCCCAAAAATCCCCCGGGATAACGGGAATGATTCCCCTGTGCTTTCCCGAAACTCCCCTGGGATAACAGGAATAATTCCCCTGTGCCTTCCCAAAAATCCCCTGGATAACAGGAGTGATTCCCCTGTGCTTTCCCAAAAATCCCCATGGATAATGGGAATAATTTCCCTGTGCTTTCCCAAAAATCCCCTGGGATAACGGGAATGATTTCCCTGTGCTTTCCCAAAAATTCCTTGGAATAAAGAGAATTATTCACCTATCCTTTATCAAAAATGCCCCGGGATAACGGGAATGATTTCCCTGTGCTTTCCCAAAAATCCCCTGGGATAACGGGAATGATTTCCCTGTGCTTTCCCAAAACTTCCTTGGAATAAAGAGAATTATTCACCTATCCTTTATCAAAAATTCCCCGGGATAACAGGAATGATTCCCCTGTGCTTTCCCAAAAATCCCCATGGATAATGGGAATAATTTCCCTGTGCTTTCCCAAAAATCCCCTGGGATAACGGGAATGATTCCCCTGTGCCTTCCCAAAAATCCCCCGGGATAACGGGAATAATTCCCCTGTGCCTTCCCAAAAATCCCCAGGAATAACAGGAATAATTCCCCTATGATTTCCCAAAATCCCCTGGGATAACGGGAATGATTCCCCTGTGCCTTCCCAAAAATCCCCCGGGATAACGGGAATGATTCCCCTGTGCCTTCCCAAAAATCCCCTGGGATAACGGGAATGATTCCCCTGTGCCTTCCCAAAAATCCCTGGGATAACGGGAATTCTTTCTCTCCGAAGGGACCTTCAGCCTGTGGTGCCACCCCAAGTTCGAGGACCGCTGCCAGTCCGTGGTGGAGTTCATCAGGAGGGCCACGATGCACTCCAAGAACGGGAAATTCCTCTACTTCCTGCGCTCCCGCGTGCCAGGTGAGCTGGGAATGCCAGGGAGCTGGGAATGGGATTGTCCAGGGAGCTGGGAATGGGATTGTCCAGG